TTACAAGGTTACAAATCTTTTTTTTTCAAGGTTACAAATCTTTTTTTACAAGGTTACAAATCTTTTTTACAAGGTTACAATTTTTTTTACAAGGTTACAAATCTTTTTACAAGGTTACAAATCTTTTTCACAAGGTTACAAATCTTTTTTTACAAGGTTGCAAATCTTTTTTACAAAGTTACAAATCTTTTTTACAAGGTTACAAATATTTTTTACAAGGTTATAAATATTTTTTTAAAAGATTACAAATCTTTTTTTTTTACAAGGTTACAATTTTTTTTACAAGGTTACAAATCTTTTTACAAGGTTACAAATCTTTTTCACAAGGTTACAAATCTTTTTTACAAGGTTACAAAACTCTCTTTACAAGGTTACAAATTTTTTTTTTTACAAGGTTTCATTTTTTTTACAAGGTTACAAAACTTTTTTTACAAGGTTACAAAACTCTTTTTACAAGGTTACAAATCTTTTTTACAAGGTTACAAACCTTTTTTTTTACAAGGTTACAAAACTCTTTTTACAAGGTTACAAAACTTTTTTACAAGGTTACAAATCTTTTTTTTTAAAGGTTACAATTGTTTTTACAAGTTTACAAAACTTTTTTTACAAGGTTACAAATCATTTTTTACAAGGTTACAAATCTTTTTTTACAAGGTTACAAATCTTTTTTTACAAGGTTACAAAACTCTTTTTACAAGGTTACAATTGTTTTTACAAGTTTACAAAACTTTTTTTACAAGGTTACAAATCTTTTTTTACAAGGTTACAAATCTTTTTTTACAAGGTTACAAATCTTTTTTTACAAGGTTGCAAATCTTTTTTACAAAGTTACAAATCTTTTTTACAAGGTTACAAATATTTTTTACAAGGTTATAAATATTTTTTAAAAAGATTACAAATCTTTTTTTTTTTACAAGGTTACAATTTTTTTTTACAAGGTTACAAATCTTTTTTACACCTGCAAAATATTTAAGGCTGGAATTTGAGCCCATACAGTTCTGAAAAGGGCTGTTTTCTCATCTGTTTCGCCACAATCCCATTGACCATCATTTTTTAATGCAGGTTTTTTGCTCATTATTCCACACTACTCAGATGGAGCTGCATGTTCTAATGGATAATGTGTATGTTTTATTTTAAACATAAACAAATTTAGTTTTTTATTTTCATGTTTCCAAGCTTATGCCTTGGTATCCTTAATGTAGGACAAGCCCTGATCCTATTTTTACACGTATGGGAAATTTTCCAAGAGTTCTCATTGTTTGGCAGGAGTGAAAACAAAACACTTTGTGACAAATTTTTAGTGGATTAATAAAACTTTAAACGATTCAAGAGTTCACGGTTGGATGGAAATCTCTGTGGAGCTTCAAGTTTGGGACAGCTGCAACAGCAAGGAGCTGTTTTTCTGAAGTTTGAAGGGAGGTGGATGTGAGTGAAGGACATTTCAAGAATAAACACGGTGACTCAAGGGAAAAGGCCAACAGGAAAAAAGGGGCGATAAAGAAAAGCCTGGAGGAGAATTGGGGGGTTATTCTGGGCCCAGCGAGCTTCCTGCAGGTGATGGAAATGAATGAACGAATGATTTCTGGAACAATTGCTCAGCAGCAAGTGAAGCGAGGGAGGAGAGGGATGGAGCGAGGCGGCGAGGGGGTTCTGCTGGAGCAGCGGGCAAACAAGACTCGATGTAAACATCGCAGAAGGTAAAAGGTCACGTAAAGTGGCAGTACAATGTCGTGTTTGGACATTAAAGACTGTTTGTGTTTGCTTCACAACTTCTGTAAACAAAGAAGAAACCTGCCAACGTAACTGATTAATTACCAGCGTGGGAGTTGGTCTAACGAGGGTCTAACACCTAAAACAACATCCGAGGCACGCCCACTGACCCTGCCCTCACACTATAAAACCCCAGAAGTGGACAGGAGACTTAAACTTGGACGTCCAACAACCAGCGAGACGCAACGAATGGTTTCCTCAACAAGCCACATCAGGTTTTTACCTTTTCTTGGTAAGTTCTGTCCATTTTTAATCCTTTGAACTGTTCGTTTTTACAGATTGGATGGGAATTTTTTTGTCTATTTTAATTGAGTTGATTTATTTTTGTGTGTCTATAGGTGAGTGCGGTATGGAGATAGCATTTGTGGTGCTGCTGATTGTGCCTCTGACTGCTGCCTCCCCACTGAGACTAACCCACAGGTAAATAATCACAGTGATGGTGGTGACCTCATCCCAGTTAGGTCTGCCTCAAACCTCAGGACTCCTACAAATGTAACGAGGACACTGTGATTGGCATTGACCCGTATTCTGCTGTTTTTGCAGGTCTGGAGTCCTCTCAGGAGCGTCTGTCCAGGCTGTGAGCGCGGGGTGGTCAGAGGACAGGCAGCAGCAACGCGTTCCCCTCGTGAAGATCATCCCATTTCACTCAGACGACGAACGTTTAGAGCTGCATGATCTGAAACGCAGGTACTCATTTTCCGTCATACAGCAAGCTTTCGTAAACAAGAGACTTGAAACGTTAAAAACTACTTTCACTAGACTTTATATTTTGTCATTACCTGTTTTCGGGAAAATTGCAGTGCCACTTTTACTTCGCTTTGACTTTGTCTTCGAAACCAAAATTTTACCTGTTCAGTTCATGGATATGTTTTGTTTGATTCCCCCCCCCTTTCACTGACAGTTTGGTTGCAAAGTTACGCAAACAACGTGCAATTCAGCGTGGATGTCAGCTTGGGACATGTCAGCTTCACAACCTGGCCAACATTTTATACCACATCAGCAAAACGAGTGGGAAAGAGGAGTCAAAGAAAGCCAATGACCCACAGGGATACGGCAGATAGGACCGGGACAAACGAGAGGATTTAAGGACTGATAAAGATCTCATTTACTGCCAACAGTCTAACTGGTACTATATTTACTACAGTTTCATGCTCGTTATGCTGATAAAATGCTGTTTAAGACTTATTTTAAAAAGTTAAATATGCAATATTTAAATATCATGTACAATAAATATTTTAATATAAACACCCCATTGGAGTCAGAGTCGTGTAAACTTGGATAAAGCTGCTCATAATGTGGTTATAATGGATTACTTTATCACACTTGATGGGTTTGAGTGATTTTAAATGTAGGAAGGATTTTTTTTTTTGCCAACAACTTTAAAAACAAATTTTAAATTGATGGCGAAATATTTACACCGTTAAAAAATAATGAGAGTTTGCAGGATTTAAAATTTTTTTTGTACAATGTTTTTGTCTGTCTGTTACATGAGTGTCAAAATGTGTTTTTTGTGCCTGATCATGTTTTTCTTCTTTGTCCCAAAACTAGAGAAAAGTTATGGAGCAAACTTGTTAAACTGCATCAACGAACATTTGAAATTACTTTGACACTAAGCAGTAGTTTTTGACACGATGATTCAACTTTTTAATATACGGTTAGTTTCAACATTTCCTATATACGGAAGCGTATTGTTGTCAAGGGAAAAAATAAAATCTTGACAGCAATATGCTTCCAGACCTACCTGCTCCAGTAACACTTAAATGTTAGTCTGACTGGAAACCAACAGCATGGAAATAAAGTGTCTTCGCCTCCTTCATCACTCATTGTTTATGTGAGCTGCCATATTGTATTTTTGCAGCCAGAGTTTGCATGTGCATCTAAAAAAATAGGAATATTCTAAAAAAGTAAAATAATTTTTAAAAAGTCAGTCATTTGATAAAGTTGAGTTCATATATTATATAGATTCAGTACTTATAAAGTGAAATATTTCAAGCCTTATTTGTTTGTAATTTTGATGATTATGGCTTACAAATAATGAAAAACCAAATTCAGTGTTTGAGAAACTACAAATGTTACATTCCTCAAGTCGAGCTACTCCTCAACCAGAACCGTCAGAAGTGTCTTACCTGCTGAGGAGAAAAACAGCTGGACTGTTGATCAGTGGTCAAACGTCCTCTTTTCAGGTTAAAGTAAATTTGCATGTCATAATAATAATACTTTATTTATAAAGCCCTTTAAAACAACCACAGCTGCAACAAAGTGCTGTACGCATAAAATCAAGAACATTTAAGCACATAAAACAGTTGTTAAAATATTAAGAAAAATAAAAACAATAAAAACAGTGCAGAGCAAAATTCAGCCTGTGCTAAAAGCCAGGGAGTAAAAATGTGTTTTTAAAAGAGTTTTTAAAATTCATTTAAAAGTCATTTGGAAATCAAGGTCCCAGAGTCTGGAGGAAGAGTGAAGAGGCCCAGAATCCACGTTGCTTTAAGTCCAATGTGAAGTTTCCACAGTCAGTGATGGTTTGGGGCCATGTCCTCTGCTGGTGTTGTTCCTCAGTCAATGCAACAGGACATTTTAGAGATATGCCATTCTGCTGACGAGTTTTATGGAGATGCTGATTTTATTTTCTAGCAGGACTTGGCTTCTGCACACATTGACAAATGTGCCAAAATCTGCCTGTGGAATATATTCTAATATTCTGAAACACTGAATTTTGCTTGTTCGTTATTTGTAAGTCACCATTTTCATTTTTACGCATATGGTAGAGTCAGCCTCCAGGGGGCGCTAGTGTTCTCTCGACTTCAGCCTTTTCTCCACTTGTTAAAAAAACTTTTTTTTTTTTTTACTTGTTAAAAACTTTACTCGCAGACTGAGAAAAGTTGCTGCAGTGTTTAAAATGTAAACACTCTGGACTGTCTCCTTTCGTTTATTAGTTTACTATAATGGCCACAGTAATTTGATGGTCGCTGAGTAATTGGAACACAGGATGTTAATGGTTGAAACAAGTTCTTTAATTTGGAAGTCCCATGAGAGACGTCGTACGTCTCAGTGGTATTTTCTTGCAAATCGCTCCCTGACACAGAAGAGAAGGAGAACATGACAGAAGCAAGTGAGAAGGATCAGGTAGGTGGGTTTTATCTGTAATACTAACAATGTGATGTCACGATGGCGCGTGCACGTGATGGAAATTGAACGAGCCTTTAAAATAAAACGAGTAAACAGGAAGTTCGATTTCTTTTAATATTTGAATTAACACAAAAAAATACCAAAAAAAAATAAAACGTTCTCTTACATTTAATAAAGGTTACAAAAAAGTTAATTAATCCTGTCTGTTAGTCTGTTAGTTAATAAAACATAAACTTCACTTCTAAATTCTAAGGAAGAACCTAAGCTGTATTCAAATTTCAGGCTCAATAATCCAGATAAATCCAACAAAGTTAAGTCAGGTCCTCGACTGTTTCTTTTTGCTGAAACATTTCTCTTTCATCCAAAATTGTTAATCAGTCCGAGGAGCCACAACAAACTCAGTATAGCATAGTGGGTCAACCAGTTTGATGGTTCTAAGATGGTTTCTGGAGTCCGCCCTCTCCCCCGCCAATTTGTTTGAGGCAGTCATGGCCAAAGTGGTTCAAAACATCAAAGTTCATGCTCCATAATCCAGGTAGATAAATCCAGCAGGTCCTCTGGACATGTTCTTTGTGTTGAAACGTTCCGTCTTTTATCCAAAAGAGTTAATCAGTCTGAGGAACCGCAACAAACTCAGCCATAAACGGCACCTTCTCATAGTGGACCAACCAGCTTGCTGATGACATGATGATGACATGAGTACCACAGACTGTACCAAGGGGAGGCCAAACATTGACGCCCCAGTGGCTTTCAAACCCCAAAGTACATTACGGCAAAGACTGGTTCATCCCAAAGATCCAGTCCCCCGGCACAAACAGAGTAATATTGTGTATGTTGTTCAGTGTCAGGATGGTGATCAGTCTTACATCGGGGAAACTAAACAGCCACTGGCCAAAAGGATGGCCCAGCACAGAAGATCAACATCAGGCCAGGATTCTGCGGTCTACACTCATCTCCAGGCCAGCGGTCACTCTTTCAGGGATGAAGATGTTCACATCCTGGACAGAGAGGAACGATGGTTTGAGAGAGGAGTAAAGGAGGCCATCTTTGTGAAGAGAACTTGTCCATCTTTAAATAGGGATGGTAGACTCCGTGTTCAACTGTCCCCTTCTTACGATGCTGTTATTGCTAGTATCACTCAGCCCCCTGTGAATAGCAAGCGGCCATCAGGTCACTAATGTTGTTAGGCTACATGTAGTACAGGTAGTTCTGGATGTCACCAGCAAACTGGTTGATCCACTATAAGAAGGTGCTGTTTATGACTGAGTTTGAAGAATCTGTCCAGAGGACCTGACTTAATGTTCTTAGATGGACGGCGGTGGCTGAGTGGTTAAAGCAGTTGTCCTCCAATGCAAGAGCTGGGGCTTCGATTCCACCAGCTCACATGCCGAAGTGTCCTTGGGCAAGACACTTAACTCCTCATTGCCTCTGATGTGTGACCCATTGGTGTATGAATGTGATAAAGCACTGATTAGTATTTATATAGATCTAGTAGAGTGCTGTATGAATGAGTAAATGAGGGCACAGATTGTAAAGTGCTCTGAGTATCTTGATCAGATAGAAAGGTGATATACAAGTACAGCCCATTTACCATTTAGGTTTATGTACCTGGATTATTGAACATGCATCAGGACATTCCAGAGGAACCTTTCTTTCACCTAAATGTTGCCACCTGCCAAAATGTAAGCTTATTTTTCAAGTTATCATGCTAACAGCACATATGGACATTTATGGTGGCAGTGATCTTGGATTTTGAGCTGGCAACACAATTGCTGAAAGAAATCTTTTTTGCATCTTGTAGCGACACACCAAAATGGAAGTCAGTGCCCATGAGTTATAGGAAACCACTTGAGGTCACGTGACCTTGTGATTCACAAGGAGGACCATTACCAAAACGTTCAAACATCTGCACTTGGCATTTTGGTAGACATTGACTAAATAGCCCTGAGTAGTGCTGACTATGTGAAAATGATTTATAATAATAATAAAATGTGTGTGATATAACAATAATGTAATATTGGAATTTAAATAAAACTAAAAATACCAGAAAGATGTGTATGCAGTGGATATAGCAACAGATGAGAAATGGGAAAATGTCATTGTGTCTCCATTAACAAGTCAGCTGATATGATTTTATTTACCTCAGTGTGAATGTGATCCAACCAGAACTGAAGCTAATAATGTAAATGTTTAAAAGTAGCCTATAAAACTGATTTAATGGCTGTTAATTAGCTAGTAGTTAGTAGCTTCTGTGGCAGATATTGCTATGCTGTACAGGCTGTATCATGCTACAGTTTAGTTCAGATTATTAAATAGTCCAAGCTGGTATTTCCTCCAGTAACATGTTCTCTTTGCAGGATTTCTGAAAATGTTCTTTTAAATCTTAGGTATAGATGAGATCACTGCAATTACATGCAGCTATTAACGGCTACATTAACACAATTTCCATGTTACAAAAGTTAGTTACAATAATCAGTTAGTTTATCATTAGACAATATATTTTCCTTATATAATATCCAGCTGTTTTACAGGGTTGTTGTATGAAATTAACATTAATTATAGAGTATATGAATTTACTGTAAAGATTTGAAAAATAATTTGTGACAGATCCATTTGGATGTGCTGGTAATAATGTCTGCTGTGAGCAGTAGTCCATTTTGGACGCCATCTTTGCTTCTCCACGATGTCACAAATGTAAAAAATGGATGCGATGCGCAGTGCACGCTCTAATGTTTAAGAGAACTCTGTCGGTACCTCATTTGTTTTTCAAGCTATCATGCTCATAACATGCACGGATGGACAGAAAGAGGGTATTTCAAATTCACCATGCTTCACTTCACCATGGGGGACAATAAAGGCCTCAACAAATATTTTCTGCATGTGTTCATGTAAAAAATTTTTCTTTTTGGACTCGGCTTGATTTTGTTAAGATGCTTGCCAAGCCTAAAAAAACTAGGGCACTAAAATCACACAAAATCTTGTGCTTTTAAATTGTCGTTTATAGCACAGCGCAGTTACAATCAGCCTGTTTTAGAGCAGACGTCAATCCAGTCATTTTCTTAACACACTTCTTTCCAGGTTTAAAGGGTGCTGGGTCTATTTCCTGCAGCCATTGTGCGAGAGGCAGAAGAACAGACATTTTTACTCAAAAAAGTCTTCAAAGTACTTAAAAAGTTTTCACCTTAGATATACTTTTTTTTCTTGCTCAACATTTTGGTATAGACAAGGCTGACAATGCTGCAGATGAGAAGGGTGTGTTTTCCAGGTAATGTTGGCCTCTTCCAAAAAGAGATGATGGGCTAAATTACACTCCGGGGTGTGGGAACTGGAGTTGCACAAAGGGAGAAGAGTTAGCGGGTTACGCAATCAGTTTCCATAAAACTCTCAACATGACTTAACACATAAAGTATTAAGCAGCAGAAATAAATAACTTGATGAAGTACATTTAACCTTTGTGGGTTATTTAGCCCCAAGGGCAGCAGGAGGGTTAAGGACATATATTTAGCAACTATCAACAATATACAGTGGTGTGTGAAAGTTTGTGAACCCTCTAGACTTTTCTACATTTCTGCATAAATACCACCTAAAACGCATCAGATTTTCACAAAAGTCCAAGGTTCATATACTTTTGCTACTCACAAATATGTAATATTGGATCACACATTTTGTTCAGTTAAAATCATCCATGTCTCATCCTGTTCCTGTTACCTCAGGTGTTCCCCAGGGCTCTGTCCTGGGACCCTTGTTGTTTATCATTTACCTTCTCCCCTTTGGTTACGTTTTTTGCAAACATCATATTCAGTTTCACTGCACGCGGATGACACCAAGCTCTATCTCTCAACCAAACCTAACTCTACACTTCCACCCTCGTCCCTCACTAATCGTCTCCTTGAAATAAAACACTGGTTCACTTTAAACTTTCTTAAACTAAATTGCAATAAAACAGAACTTCTTTTAATTGGCACTAAATCATTACTATACAAACTTCATGCTTCTCCATTCCGGTTGATAACTCTTCCATCTTTCTCTCACATCAGGTTAAGAGTCTGGGTGTAATCCTTGATAGCACCCTCTCCTTCGCCTCCCATGTCAATAATATCACTCCGTCAGCCTAATTCCATCTACGAAATATTCATTGTTTCCATCCATCCCTCACTCCTCACTCCACTGCTGTTCTGATCCACAGTCTGGTCACCTCTCATTTAGATGATTGTAATTCTCTTCTTTTTGGCCTACCACAGAAAACCCTCCATAAATTACTACTGGTCCAAAATTCAGCTGCTCATATCATTACACGGACCCCCTCAATCCATCACATCACACCTGTTTTACAACAGCTTCATTGGCTTCCCATCCCATATCGCATCAACTACAAAATACTCCTCCTTACCTTCAAAGCTGACCATAACCTCGCGCCTCCATACCTTTCAGATCTTGTTCACATTGCTACACTCGCTCGTACCCTCAGATCCTCTTCTTCTATTCAGCTCATTGTTCCCCTTGCCCGTCTTGTTCCTATGGGGAACAGAGCGTTCAGCTGCTCTGCTCCCCAGCTCTGGAATTCACTCCCACCTGATATTTGCAACACAGACTCATTGCCGCATTTTAAATCCCAACTCCAAACTCATCTGTTTAAAGTAGCCTACGCACTGATTGCAACTGCACTGTCTTCTATTTTTTACTTGTGTTTACTGTTTGTATAATATTGTCTGTTTTTATGCTCGACTATGTACGGTGACCTTGAGTGCCAAGAAAGGCACCTACAAATAAAATGTATTATCATTATTATTATTATTTTCCTCAATAAATAAATAACCAAGCATTGTATTTGGTCTCATTTGCTTAACAGGGTTCTAAAACGTTCACAAACTTTCAAGCACCGTTGCAGGTGACCTTTGTTATTCAATTTAAATTTTTTTAAATATAATTGCAATTAATTATACAATTTACAGTTTAAATGGCAAAGCCATTTTTTTCTAGTACAATTGTATAACTTTTCAAAGCAGTGCTGGTAGATTCTCTGTTTATCAGGACATGGCAAATTGTAAAAGTTCAAAAACAAATTAAAAAATTGCAGCGTGGAGTTCACAGCTTTTGAGCTTTCGAACTGAAAAAAAAAACCTCCCTGTATGGAGAGTGAAACACATTTTACTGCAGCATAGAAGCAAAGTTAGTTTAAATGAAGATGTGTGTATTTTGTTAGTTTATTTTATGTTATCATTTGAGTTGTTCAGTGTTCTGTTCCTCATTGCTTCTCCTGTTTTCTGCTCCAGTTTCTCCCTTTCATTTTTACTTTTACATTTTACTCATATGTATTGAGCTTGAATTTGTTTTATAAAATGCCTATTTTTTGTCTTGTGACCAGCCAATCACATTTTGTTATAACTGAAGAAACTTTTGATTTAATAGAAAATGACAAGTTGTTCTCAAGAGACTTACTTGATTTGCACAGCTAAATGAGATGAATATACAGTAGTTCATATTATTACACCTCTTTCTTGTGTTACTTAGCATAATGTCTGCAGGGAAAAGGGTGTCGTGGTGATGAAAGAGCTGTGTCAAAAGGCAAAGTTCTCAATTTACTGGTCTGTCTTCATTCCAACCCTCACCTCTAGTCATGAAGTTTGGATCATGACCAAAAGAACGAAATCCTGGATACAAGCGGTTGAACTGAGCTTCTCTCGCAGGGTAGCCGGTCTTAGCCTTTAGGGTGAGGAGCTCCGTCATTCTGGGGGAGATTGAAGAAGAGCCGCTGCTCCTTCGCATCGAAAGGAGTCAGCTGAGGTGGTTTGTGCATCTGATTAGGATGCCTCCTGGATGCCTCCCTTTAGAGGGTTTCTGGGCATGTCCGACTGGTAGGAGGTCCTGGGGAAGACCCAGAGAACGTGGGAGGGATTGTGTATCTTCTCTGGCCTGGGAACGTCTCGGTGTCCCCCAGGACGAGCTAGAAAGAGTTGCTGGGGAGAAGGAAGTCTGGGTTCCTGCCTCTGCGACCCATCTACGAATAAGCGGTAGAAGATGAAGAAAAATAAGTAAAAATAATCACATCAGCAATGATATTTTAACAATCAGAGTCAGAGAGTCAGAGATTCTTTATTGTCATTCGCACCTCATGTGGTACATGTGGTGGAGCGAAATTATGTACACAGGGTCCCAGTTACATCCAACAATAAAATTTATAAGAAAAACAGTAATAAGATCTAAGATATGAACTAAGAAAAACATCAACTAAATGTACACTAAGCACTCATAACATAAAAACATTGAACATCAGCACAAACATGAACATGAGTCTGTGAGCAGATGTGCATGCATGAACACATCAACATTGAAACAGATCAGCAGCAAAATGATGTGATTTTTCACAGTGATTATTCTAGTTAGAGATTCATGAGTCTAACAGCCTCAGGGTAGAAGCTGTTCCTCAGTCTAGTGGTTGTACACTTAATGCTCCTCAACCTCCTTCCTGAGGGGAGTGGGGCAAAAAGTGTGTGTGCTGGGTGAGTGAGGTCCTTCATGATGCAGGTAGCCCTCTTCCTGCATCTAGAGGTGTAGACGTCTGTGATGGTGGGGAGGCTGACTCCAACAGTCTTCTGTGCAGCCTGAGGAATGTCGGAGTCAGCCTCCCCACCATCACAGACATCTACACAGCATCTACATGCACAAAATGAGAAGATTTAGTTTAAACTTAAGAACAGACTATATATACAGGTGCTGGTCATAAAATTAGAATATCAAGAAAAAGCTGATTTATTTCAGTAATTCCATTCAAAAAGTGAAACTTGTATATTATATTCATTCATTACACACAGACTGATATATTTCAAATGTTTATTTATTTTAATGTTGATGATTATAACTGACAACTAATGAAAACCCCAAATTCAGTATCTCAGAAAATTAGAATATTACTTAATATCAATAAAAAAAGGATGTTTAGAAATGTTAGTCCAACATGAAAAGTATGAACATGAAAAGTATGAACATGAAAAGTATGAGCATGTACAGCACTCAGTACTTAGTTGGGGCTCCTTTTGCCTGGATTACTGCAGCAATGCAGCGTGGCATGGAGTCGATCAATCTGTGGCACTGCTCAGGTGTTATGTGCCCAGGTTGCTCTGATCGTGGTCTTCAGCTCTTCTGAATTGTTGGGTCTGGTGTATCACATCTTACTCTTCACAATACCTCATAGATTTTCTATGGTGTTAAGGTCAGGTGAGTTTGCTGGCCAATTAAGAACAGGGATACCATGGTCCTTAAACCAGGAACTGGTAGCTTTGATACTGTGTGTAGGTGCCAAGTCCTGTTGAAAAATGAAATCTGCATCTCCATAAAGTTGGTCAGCAGCAGGAAGCATGAAGTGCTCTACAACTTCCTGGTAGATGACTGCGTTGACCTTGGACCTCAGCAAACACAGTGGACCAACACCAGCAGATGACGTGGTACTCCAAACCATCACTGACTGAGGAAACTTGACACTGGACCTCAAGCAACGTGGATTATGTGCCTATCCTCTCTTCCTCCAGACTCTGGGACTTTGATTTCCAAAGGAAATTCAAAATTTACTTTCATCAGAGAATATAACTTTGGACCACTCAGCAGCAGTCCCAGGTGAGACACTTTTGACGCCGTCTCTTGTTCAAGAGCGGCCTGACACAAGGAATGTGACAGCTGAAACCCATGTCTTGCATACGTCTGTGCATGGTGGTTCTTGAAGCACTGACTCCAGCTGCAGTCCACTCTTTGTGAATCTCCCCCACATTTTGAAATGGGTTTTGTTTCACAATCCTCTCCAGGGTGCAGTTATCCCTATTGCTTGTGCACTTTTTTCTACCACATCTTTTCCTTCCCTTCGCCTCTCTATTAATGTGCTTGGACACAGAGCTCTGTGAACAGCCAGCCTCTTTAGCAATGACCTTTTGTGTCTTGCCCTCCTTGTGCAAGGTGTCACTGGTCGTCTTTTGGACAACTGTCAAGTCAGCAGTCTTCTCTATGATCTTGTAGCTTACAGAACTAGACTGATAGACCATTTAAAGGCCTTTGCAAGTGTTTTGAGTTAATTAACTGATTAGAGTGTGGCACCAGGTGTCTTCAGTTTTTAACTTTTTCACAATATTCTAATTTTCTGAGATACTGAATTTTGGGTTTTCATTAGTCGTCAGTTATAATCATCAAATTTAAAATAAATAAACATTTGAAATATATCAGTCTGTGTGTAATGAATGAATATAATATACAAGTTTCACTTTCTGAATGGAATTACTGAAATAAATCAACTTTTTCACGATATTCTAATTTTATGACCAGCACCTGTAGGTTCAGTTTATGAATTTATTTTTTTTTAAAGCCCCCCAAAGCCTTTTTATTAATTCAGTCTTTGAATATGTTAAAACTGTTTTCAGAGTTGGATCCCCAAGGTCTTCAAGAAAAGGGAGTGCACCACCTTTGTGGAAGATTCTTTCAGGTACTCCTCATGATGACTCCTGTGTTGATGCTATCAGAAGATGATCACTGACCTTGTTGTCCTTCCTCTTCTGTCAGTAATGGAGCTCTGTGTCAGTGTGGAAAAGCAAAAGATGCCCACAGTTCTGTGGCTCTCGGGGACTTTTTCAGCACAGCCATGGTGAACCACTGGGACAGCGCCCAGCACTCGTCTGAATACCCGACTGACGCCTTCGGAGAGGTGCAGTTTGCAGGAGCCAGCAAGAGACACAGCTATGTGAGAGCCTTTCTGAGGATCTGATAACTTCTCTGAACTAATTAATAAATGACAACTTTTATTGACAGAGATACTATTAATTTGCTGCAGTAGTCAGTATTTTTCATATTAAACCTATGGCTTATAGATGTACAAACAAAGACAATGCACCGAGTTTGAGATCATGAAATCACATTCGTATTAATCTTTTGCTCATCTGATCTTCAGCATTAACCAGTTTTTGTTTACTTGTAACATCTGACACGTTTGTTCAACCAAATGTCTGATTTGTCTCTGATGGGGAGCTCAGTTCTTGCGTCTGTCATGGGACTCCTCTCCGTCTATGGTCTACACCATGATGACGACCCACTGGAATCTCCCTGCACCCAATCTGGTGGTTTCTGTTGTGGGAGGAGAAAGCAGGACAAAGGTGAAGACCTGGGTGCGGGAGGTGCTCAGGAAGGGACTTGTGAAAGCTTCTCAAAGAGCAGGTAAACACGCCCTGACAATAAAATACCAGGAAGTTGTCATTTTTCAGACTTTACTGCCTTTAGTTTGGACAAGGTTGGTGTTTTCATGTATTTCACTTTGCTCACAGATAAAACCATCAACTCTGTCCTCACTTATGAAATGGCAAAAATCGCTGACTTTTGTTTTTGCCTAAAATGAAATTGCTATGTATATTATGAAACTTTAGTCATTTTTCTGGGAGTTTATATGAAGTTTAGCTCCTGATCTTTTTTTGTGAAAGATACATGTTTTGACAGCGGAAACACAACACGAGATTTATATGTAAAAAATAAAGTTAAATCATTAAATATTCATTCAAACTTTATTTAGACTAACCTGTTTGTAACGGTTGAATGAATATTTAATGTAACTGTGTCAAGTTTGTTGGCCTCTTCTCACACACCTTGTCATCTCTGCTCACAAATGCTTTGTGGGACTGAGATCAGAGCTTTGTGATGGGCGCCTCTAAAACATTGACTTTGTTGTCATTTAGCCACTGTCATTGTCCTTTTGTAAGGTACATTTGTGTCTGAACTTTCACTTTGTGGCTGATTTCATGAGAGGTTGTTTAATATTTGTTTCCTCCTGATAACGTCTATTTTGTGAAAAGCACCAGTCAAAAAAAAAAAAAAAAAAAAGCAACAGCCAGCATCAGGAAGGGCATCCAGCGTAAAAATAATTGCCAAGTCTTTGTGCAACTTAATTTGCTGTGGCGACCCCTGAAGAAGGGAGCAGCCGAAAGAAGAAAATTTTTTTAGGCTTCTTTATTGCTTAAAAGTGGCCCTAGGGGTGGCTGAAGAATAATCTATGGTGGTCAAGGGCACCATTGGCCACCCTCTGGGTACCATTACACCTACTTATAGTTAAAATTACTCCGTCCACTTGCCAGGTTCCATCACTCGGTGCCACCTCGAACAAGCAAAAATTTTATTTTTTAAATGCACTATTAACTGCATTAATTTGCACATGTTTATCATGCCCATTTCAATATCTTGCACCAAAAACATTAAGGAATTACTTGCATTCCAGTTAAATTCCAGTCCAGAAAAACACTCATCTCGAAAACCACATTCTCTGGTCACATCCCTCAGTGACGGGGAACATCATTGTACCGCTTGTTTATGCTTCTTTTCAGGTAATGGTTTCTTCCTCACTGAGTGGCCTTTCAGCTCATGTTGGGCAAAGACTTGACTCTCTCTGACTAGCTTCAACAGCATTTTCGCAAATTCTTTTGCTTTTGTTTTGAAGTTGATGGACTTATTTCACACCTAAACACCTTCATCTGAGGACAGATGAACAGTATGATAGACGGCCATTCTTATGGTGTGTATACTTGCATGGAATTGTTTGAACAGATGAACATAGTAGAAGTTAGTGGTTGATGTCACAGTTGTGTAGTTGTTGTCACAACATAATCAAATCACTAAGTGTGTTGGAGCAGGGAAACAACTAAAACATGCAGGATGGTGTTCCTTGAGGAGCCACTGATCAAACCAGTCAAAAGCTTCCAAAGCGATGACATCATCATCAGAGCTTTCCCAGACTGATTAAAGGCATAGTGTTTGTAAACATGTGACTTTTAATCAACTAATTTGTAGATGAACAGATGCTGAGATATATTCATCAATTAAAACGGGTTCTTCATTTTTCTGGACTGAATATAAACGTGCGTTGAATTTAATGAAATGTAACGTGAGACGTTATTTATCTTTGACCCATCAAAATGAATGTGGCCATTTATTTACAGAACCAAAGTTTAACATCAATATTTACATTAATTTGGCAAAATATGAAAATAACAACATAATTAATCAGCGGGCTGTACAATTATGATCAATTATCCACACGGCGGTGGATAAGAACTTTGCTTCAGACATTTCTAAAAATTATCTATAATGATTTTAGCAGATAGGAGAGTTTAAAGATGGAAAGATGGAGTTTAAAGGAAGTAAAAGATGGTGTGTGAGGGGGAGTGTTGACCAGAACCGACACTCTCCATTCGAACCCAGCTTTTCCTCGGTACGCTCGGTAGTAAACTTGACTCATTACCTCTCTGAAGATGAATCAGCAGATACGGAGTTCCAGTTAACGCTACCTGTCCAGCATCTCCATAGGATGGCTGTGACTCGTCCGAAGTAGTGACGAGATTCCGTCCGACACAAGCTCACCTCAGCAAGTGGACTTCACATGAGTGGAGTCCTTCAGAAGTTCCACTCAGCGGTGGAAGATGTTATAATCCAAACTCGGAAGAGCCTTATCATGGCTGGACTTCTGTTCTCCCAAACGACTTCACAGAACTGCGAACATCTCAGAACTTCTCCGCCCCCGAACTGAGAGAACTAGGAAGTACCGGCATTTAAAGGGCTCTATTTCCGGTATATTTGAGCGTTCCTGATTGGTCAATGTCGACCAGACAGGGGTGTGGTTTGTGACGTAAGAGGTTACTAGAAGTCAGAAAACAGCAAGAATTGTTATGGAACAGATTAAAACTGTTCTCAGAGACAGAGAGAGTTTTGTTTTGGCGAGTTTGGAGAAACAGGTGCCAACTTCTCTGTTGACGTCTGAGAGGATGTAAACAAGACAGTTGTTCCAACACATGTCTGCTTCGACTCCTGACCTTGGAAAACGCACACTTGCTCATTCAAAGACAGAAATCAGAAAATGCATAATTACTCTGTAACAGACCTTAACATGAATTCTAACTTTGCATAAGCAACTAAAAAATCATTGTTACTGTTTTACAGTTAATAAAATTGATTAGTTCACTGCAACATCTAAAATGGTTTGAACTAAAACACTTTGGTTATCAACATTTGTAAAATAGTAATGATAATAAAAAAGAGAGTGTTCTTTCACTTGATTTTCAAGAAAGAAAGTCTCAGGATGGGTGAACCTGTATTTCTGGATTCAAATCAATGAAATGACAGTTCCTGTCCCACAAGGTTCTTAAGGTCAAGGGTTTTGACCTTAGGCTTAGTTTTGACATCAGGTCAAGTTCACTACAAATTAAAAAGTCTCTAAAAAAAACTCCTTTTCCCAGCATTTAGCAAATATAAATAATTTGGGAAATCCTAAGTGACATAAAACAGAAAAGGTTTAATTTGATGTTAGAGATAAAATGGTTATGTGTGTTTTTGTCATAGTCTGTTTTTTTCAGTAATTTAATTGATTTTTTTTTAGTTTTATTTCTCCTTGTGGTTCATGTTTTATTCTTCCGTCCCTTGTGTTTTGGTTCAGCTCCCTGTGTTTTCTTGCCAGTTTGAGCGGCTTCGGATGTTATCAGCCCATTAAATGGCCGTTATTAGTTGTTATCATCCCCATATGTAGCGGTCAAACTGTCCCACCTACCTCCTAGTAGGTTTAAAGGCATGTTATTATCGTTATTATTGCTGATAATAGGCAGCGTCGCACGGGGGTAAACCAGGAAGTGTATATTTTGTTTTTTTCCTGCTTATGTAACCCTTTTCCTAAACGTAAGCTTAAACCTGACCCAGAGGACCAACCCTAAGCTTAACCCCCTTACCCTTGCGCCTAAACCTAACCAAGACCCTAAGCCTAACTGCCAGACCCTTTACTCTAAACCCAACCACCTGAAACTATTATGAGCGCTAACAAAGCTAAAAACAGTGCCTATTATCATGGCTAACAACACTAACAACGTACCTTTAAACCCACTAGGAGGTACAGGAGGGGCAGTCTGACCGCTACATATGGAGGTGATAACAACTAATAACGGCCATTTAATGGCTGATGACATCTGAAGCCGGTGCCAGTTTTCATTTTTACCCTCAGTCAATCACTTACACCCATTTCTCAATTATTAATATTAATAACCCAGGTGCTGCCACTTTCCACTCAACCTCCAATCTATTTAAGCTTTCTCTACTTATTTTATTTTAAATATAATAAAAAGTTAATTTTACCCAAGCTCCTCGTGTGCACCTGCATCTGGGTCCAATCCCTTCATGGACCGTGATAGTTTTTGTATAATATATGCAAAAATATACACTGCCTGGCCAAAAAAATAGTACCTGGATTTAACTAAGCAAATAGGTACAAGTCTCCTATTGGATAATTACTGCATGGGTGATTATCTTTCAGCTGGTAACAAGTTATTTAACCCCAACTGGTGCAATGAGTTGCTTCTCATTTCTTAAACAACCATGTGGAAAGACTCATCGTGTGGTTGTGGAAAAGATGTCAGTCTGTTTGAGAAGGGTCAAATCATTGGCATCAAGCAGAGAAAACATCTAAGGAGATTGTAGAAACTACTAAAATTGGGTTAAGAACTGTCCAACGCATTATTAAAAACTGGAAGGATAGTGGGGACTCATTGTCTTCGAAGAAAAAATGTGGCCTGAAAAAAATTCTGAATGATCGTGATCGACGATCACTTAAACGTTTGGTTAAATTAAATTCAAGAAAAACAACAGGAGCGCTCAGGGCTATGTTTAATAGTGAAAGTAAGAGCATTTGCACGTGCACAATGTGAAGGGACCTCAAGGGATTGGGACTGAACAGCTGTGTAGCCTTAAGAAAACCACTAATCAGTGAGACTAACTGGAAAAAAAGGCTTCAGTTTGCCAGGGAGCATAAAAGATTGGACACTGGAGCAATAGAAGAAGGTCATGTGGTCTGATGAGTCCAGATTTACCTTGTTCCAGAGTGATGGTGCATCAGGGTAAGAAGAGAGGCAGGTGAAGTGATGCACCCATCATGCCTAGTGTCTAGTCATCAATGCAAGATTTTGGTGAAAAATTAATGCAACACTGGATGGAAATAGATCTTGTGACATTGTAGAAGCTTATCGAAACAATGCCACAGTGAATGCTGCTGTAATCAAAGCTAAAGGCGGTCCAACGAAATATTAGTCTGAGCTTTTTTTTTTTTGGTCACAACTTTTTTTTTGGCCAGGCAGTGTAGTTTCAACTAAAGATCCTTTACAACAAAAACTGATGTATTATTTTTTTAAAGTATGAATATGGGGAAATTTCCCAAGATAAAACTATTAAAACAATAGCATTTTTTTCTTGGCTTGTTACAAGATTTCAGAACATGACCAGGTCAGGTTTTCCTGTTTTCTTTTATCTGGCAGGACATGTTTTCAGGAGGCAACAAGTCTGCAGGTATCTACTATTGTACTACCATGTTGAGTCATGGAGTTTTATTATGAGCAGGCAGCTTTTTTCTTAAAAGATGCAACGTTCTCTGAGTAAAAAAAAAAGAATGCTGTCTGGATGGCTAAAGGTTTTGCTCCCAAATGTGTGTATACAATTTTATTAGTGTTTTCACAGATCTGCAATTTGACATACATATGCTCTGTGAGCATGTGATCATTGATGCTGATTTATACGTGTTGCGTTGGTAACAATTTGGATCGTCCCATTGAAGAAAAATATTTTCTACTTTTTTATTACAGCCTAGTATGTGCAGTTTTTTTAAGTGGTGTGTTTTAAACCATACAGCGTAACATGGTAACAGTACAAATAATTTCGATACATTTACCCGTATTTTCTGACGTATAAGTCGCATCAACCAAAAACGCATCACGAAGAGGAAAAACTTGTATAAGTCACTTCAGCATATACGTCTAATTTATTATGCATCACCGCTGACCCATCACATTTATAATGCACTTATTTAATAGTCAAAACAGCTTCATTTCACCTGGGCAGCGCAGCTCCATCCATCCATCGTGGCTGGAGCCGTTAGCTCCAGCGTTCCTCCGTCTGCACCAGCTGAGTGAAGCGAGCGCGCACGGGAGGACTCACTGTTGCAGTTCTTCGAAATTTAAAGCGTCAGTCAAAAATTGTGTTATGAATATGGAAAAAAAAAAACATATATAAGTCGCAGGACTGACAAATCTATGCATAAAACTGCGACTTATATGCCAGAAAATACGGTAAATGTAATTTCCCTTCTGAGATAAACATAAATGAAAACATCTTGTGTAAAATCAGGGTTGGTTCTTTCCTGTCCAGGAGCAGCGTGGATCCTGACTGCAGGATTGCGTGAAGGTGTTGGTAGGTGTGTCGGCGAGGCGGTGAGAGATCACGCCACTGCAGCTTCTTCAGACTCCATCAACAGAGTGGTGGCACTGGGCGTCGCTTCATGGGGTTTGGTGCATAACAGAGAGCAACTTGTCAATCCGAAGGTTGTATTTACACAGACCCCACCCCACACACACACACACAAAAAAATACTGAAAAGTATCTTGTTCACTTGTATTGTTGGTCCAACATGTAAATATTAACTTTGAGTTAGAACATGTTTGTACAGTTTTATCTTTAGATTTTTGTTTGAATGAGTTGGAAGCATTTTTCAGTTAAGTCCTTGGCTTTATTCTTGCATAATAAGCAAATAAGAGCATCGTGTGCAGTATTCACAATAAGCTCAATGCACTTTTATTTATTTTAGCAATGAGGTGTAGATTGTGCTGCGTCGTAAATAAGGAAACGTTGGAATTTACCAACCAAAATTTTTCCTTTTGCAGGGCTGTTTTCCTGCTAAATACTACGTGCAGAACTCATCTCGAGATTCCTGCAGCCTGGATAACAACTACCAGGCCTTCCTGCTGGTGGATGATGGGAGTGTGGGCCGCAGAGGAGGGGAGACGACCTTCAGAGCCAAACTGGAGGACTTCATCTCCCATCAGCGCACAGGAATATGGGGTGAGAAACATTACTTCTGTTCTGCTTAAATTCAAATTGACAAAGATATTTGTCCTTTAAGCTCAGTGCTCATGCACGCAACATTTAATTCAACCCATGTGGCCATTTTAGTAGTCCTTTATTTATTAATGCAAAGATCCGTGGTCATCCACTGAATAGAAACTACTGCACGTCTAAAAAAATGACACACGGGTCTTCAGCGTGAAAAAGTTTTTCAACAAGCAAACGTTTGCCAATAAAAGTGTTTTTAATAACTTGTTTCGCTGTATAAAATAAATGTTATGCAATTAGCATGTTCTAATATGTATTTTAAGTGTTGTCTCTGTGATTTTAAAAGGAATTTGTGCACAAAATATGCTACACATTTTGTTCAAACAGGTAGCGGCAGCATTGACATTCCTGTCCTTTGCATGCTGATATCCGGGGAGACGAGCATGTTGGAGGTAGAGACAAAGACAGAAAACAATTTATGTGTGTCTCATACTAAAATTAATATTTTTAATAACATTGAATTAATGCATTTAATTTCGGCCAGAGAGTGGATGTTTCTCTGAAAAACTCCATTCCCTTGTTGGTCCTGGCCGGTTCAGGAGGCATTGCAGACTTCCTGAGTGACCTCTTGGAGAATCTGTCTTCAGCCCCAGTCTTCCAGTCTTCTAATGAGGGGGACAGCGAGGCCAGTCCTAGTGTGGATCTGAAAGAAAAAGTGACGGAACGAGTGAAGAATTTGTTTTCTGCTGAACCAGACACAGACAAACTTGTTAAACAGGTAAGACCTGAAAATTGTGTTTGGACAGAATGAGGAAAGTTTTCTGCTTTCTTCAAGTTCAGCAAAATAAGACTGTTGTAATTTACCAGTTTTTATGGTCCCTCCTTGACTTTTTTTAAGACGTTTGTAATAAACCTTTCTTCAACTGTACGCTAAAATCACATACATTTTTTTTTTTTTCATTAACATGTTTGATTTATCAGACCTTTACTGAGATTAGAGCAGGTCCTTAGGGCATCCTTTTTCCTCAAAGTACTTTGTGCCTCAGCCTGTGTTTTCAGGAACAGACTTCTATTTACGTATTTTATTTTTTTATTAAATAATTTACTCACTTTAAGCTGTAGTTTGAGGTATTTCAAGTCCCACAAAATCTGATTTCTACAAATAAACTTTGTGCATTTATTGAATATTTTAGATGTGACTTTTGGATTATGATTTACTCTCACTGAGCTGCCAACTTTTATTGAAACAGACATCCTCACACGTCTGCCTCTTTACACTCCTAAAAGAAAATAATAAAATTATAGAGAGAGGGTGAGTCTTCAACTTGTGACAATAATAGCAGAAAAATAATTCAGTTTCAAAAACTTGCTGTAGTTTATTGTTTTGTCAAACACATAGCATTATTTAAAACATACTGGTAAACACATGCACTAAATGTGTTACAAGGTGGAAGAGTAAAGGAGAAAAAAAACAATAAACTCTAAATAATTTGTTGCAGACTGGTGCATAGTGTTCAATGCAGGAGGAATCTGAGTTTTACAACAGTCTGCACATGATGCAAATTCAATGTGCACTTTTTGAGATGAAGCCCAACTTAGTAGTTAATTAGCAGTTCATTTAGGTCATAATCGGCTATTAAAATAAAATGCAATGGGTTTTTAACTCATGGCCACCTGCAACTTTGAGTTGAGGTGAAGCAGAATAAGAGTGAAATGATCATTTATGTTGTTCAGTGAGCTCGTTCTGTCCACCTAAGTATATAAATACACATTATCTAATGACGTCACTGTCTGTCAATTGATGCTTGTTGAAGAGACCCTTAACAGCGTATATCAGTTTTAATCTTCCACAGTTACTTTATGTTATTAGTGTGTGCTTCTGAAAGCTACACTGCTTAAATGAGATTAAATTTTGGTCTCACAAGTTATCACTTTTAATGGCATCTTTGGGAGGTTAAGTGTTTCTTTTGCAATCACAAACTTCTGTGCTCATGGGTGCAACAATTTCAGTGTTTCTGTCTCCTGACTTCTACCTTCAGGCTCTCAGCATTTACCAAAACAAGCATTTTATAACAATCTACCATGGAGAACAGGAGAGCCCGACTGATTTTGATACAGTTCTGCTGAAAGCATTAGTAGGAGGTGAGTGAAACTCTTCTACATGCTGGATTTTGCTCTTGTTTGTATGTGACAGTATTTTCCTCATTTTGATCTTTGTGTGTTTTTTCCTTTTTTCAGCAAGTAAGTATTGTGTCTCAGTTGAGGCTTCCCCTTACAAGGAAGAGCTCAACCTAGCTGTTGCTTGGAACAGAGTGGACATTGCTAAGAGTGAACTCTTTAATGGAGACATCCAGTGGAGGGTGAGGAGATAAACACAACAATCTGTAGCAGGGCTGAACAATTAATTGCATTTACAATAATATCGCGATATGCTAAAATTAGATTTTCTCATCGCGAAGGCTGCGATTTGACTGGTCATGTGATCTGGTTACGTGACTTGCGAGTGAGCGGAGCAAAGCAGAGAAGGGAGTGGGAGAAGTCAATACTGCGCTTTAACCAGTTGCACAGTGGCGTCAGGCTCGACAGAAGCTGATACATCTGAAAGTTTGGTACCGAAGAGGGGCAGCACGTCCGTTGTTTGGAATTATTTTAACTATAAAAAAGAAGACGGTGCGCAACAACATCTATTGTGCAGAACCTGCCTTGCTGCTGTTGCTACCTCTCGAGGTAACGCCACAAATCTTTATCAGCACTTAAAAAAACACCACAAAGCCATTTACGATAGTTGCACGGCTAGAATGCCAATGCTTCAGCTTAAAGTAAGCAAAGTACCAGCCGGCAGGGATCACTGACCGAACTGTTCAAATGTATTACTCCGTATGAACATAATTTGAAACGGCACGCGGAAATAACTCGAGCAATAACAGAGTTCATAGCGAAAGACATGATGTCCATTAATATAGTGACCAAGCCTGGGTTTACGGAGTTGGTAACACGATAAGCAGTACAGGATGCCCTCGCACACACATTTTAGCCAAGTTGCTAACCCAGAGCTATAAAAAACGCAGAAATAGAGCTGAAAACTGTGGAGTTTTTTGCAACTGAAACAGATTTATTGCTCGTGTTCGTTGAAAAATACATGTGAAGAAGACAATGAAAAATAATCGCATATTAAATTGCAATCTTGAGGTAAAAAAAAAATTGCAATTAGAATATTTTCCAAAATCGTTCAGCCCAAATCTGTAGTAAATGCATTCTATAAAGATTTGGTTATAAAGAAGCATGTCCCAGCCAAACAAAACTATGGTATTAAATAAGATTTATTGCCTGATTATAATTTTTTTAAATCTAATCCTACAGTATGAGGACTTGGAAGGGTCCATGACAGATGTCCTGATCAACGACAAGCCTCAGTTTGTTCGTCTTTTCACTGAGAACGGCCTGAACATCCTGGACTACCTGACTTATGGACGACTGGAACAGCTCTATGGCTCTGTGGCTGAGGGCACACAGTTATACCAGCTACTTCAGCGCCGCTTAGCCATGAGAGTTGGAACTACACCTATGCCTACATCACATCCACCAGAGAGTTTACCAGAGACACATTCTAAATTATTAACAGAGAAAGCTCAGAGTGAAACACAGTCTGAGATCACCCTTTTTGAGGTGAGCTTCCTTTTGAAAACGCTCCAATGGTCTTGGTCTGTGCTACTTACGTGAAATATTATTAGGAAAACGCCATTTAACAAAGCTTTTTGTTGTGTTTTGCCAGGTTTCAGGAGTCCTGGAAATATTAATGGGTGATGTTTGTGAGCTGTTCTACTATGACGTTTTGGGCTTACAAAATGTCTCATCCCAAAGGATAGCTCCAAGGGTACTCGTTTTGTTTTTGTTAGTGTTTTTAAAGAGACAAAAATGAATTTTCTCTATTTCCCTGACAATCTTAACCTTAACCACCTGCTGTCCTTGGACCAAAATGGAACTTGCACACCCAAGGACAGCCGAATGGTTAACTTAATTAATATGTTTTTATTCATCCCAGCGTGTAAGTAAGCTGCTGCGTGGAGAGCGCATGTATCAAACAAGGCGGTGCTCCTCCCCCTGGGCTTCACTTTTCATCTGGGCTGTTCTACAGAACCGCAGTGAGATGGCCACTTTCTTCTGGGAGATGGTAAAAACTCTGAGGTTGAATGCAAGAATGTGTGCTGCTCAGACTTTGTAAATCAAGTTTTATTGTCAAGTGATAAGGGGATATGCATTTAGACATTAGGAGTGTCTCATCACAGGAGACAGCTGATTTAAAATGTTTAGTGACGATCCTGAGATATTACTGAAGAAACAAATAAATAAACTTGTCACAAAACTTCTCATATTAAAGTCCAGAGAGTGAGTTAAAGCAGTCCGTCAACCTACTTTTACAGAAGTAGAAGCAATAAATATTTTGTGAACTGATGGGCTTAGTTAAAATGGTTTATTCAAACTCACTGTTCAGTTCAAACATGCAATGCATCAATGTGATTTTCTGTAAGCCTGCATCTCTCTTGTGGTCTTTCTCAGGCAGGAGAGTCAGTGCTGAGCGCTCTAAGTGGTTGTAAGATCCTGAGACAACTGTCCAAACTGGAAGATGAAAATGAAACCAAACTCTCCATGAAAGAATTGGCCCAGAAGTTTGAAAATCTGGCACTGGGTGAGACCATAAACCTAAACTCCACTGATGATTAATCCCACTTTTTGCTGGTTTTAGTTACATAAAATCTGATCTGTAAGATAGTCATAATTTACAGCTAAGGGTCGTTGTTTCCCTCTGTACATTAACATGTAGCACTTGTGGTTTACTTGGATTAAACAGAGAAACTCGGTATTAGCACGAGTTATACCTTTGAGTTTTCTGACAATGTTATAATCTTGTAAAAAAAAAAAATGTGTTTGATGTTGGTACACATTCACTTTAAACATTTTTTTAAATCTGGTGTCATTAAGGACTGCATTTTTGTAAGCTATATAGTACCAAACAAAAATTGTAGGTTTTACTCCCATGGTTTGTGTTTCTTTGATTTATCTCAGATATCTTCAGCTCTTGTTATCGCAGCGATGAAAGTCGCTCCTTCAAGCTGCTGATTAGGAAATCTCCTGTTTGGGGTGGGACCACATGCCTACAGATGGGCATGAGCGCTGATGCCCGACTTTTCTTCAGCCATGATGGAGTGCAGGTTTGTTATTGTTTGATTGGGTTTGACAATCTTGAAACTACTGATAAAGTTCTAATTATGTTTATAAATATAAAATTTCGAAATATCTTAAATAAGAAGATAACTCAAGCAAATTATTTTTTATCATCAATCCATTATCTTTACCCACTTCTTCCTTTCTGGGCTGCGAGGGTCACTGGTGCCCATACCCAGCGGTCACTGTGCGGCTGGGGACACCTAGAAAGGCCCCCAGTCCATCACAGGCACACAAAGACAAGCGAGACAAAAAACTATTCACTCTCTCACTTTAGAGTTACCAGTCAGTCTAACATGCATGTTTTTGATCTGTGGGAGGAAACTGGAGTACCCAGAGAAAACCCAGGCATGCACGGAGAGAACATGCAAACTCCACCCAGAAAGGCCCATGACCAGGATTTGTTCTGGCAACCTTCTTGCTAAGAGGCAACAGCTCTACCAACTGAGCCACTGTGCTCTTTTCCACAAACCATTGCTAACATTATATTTGTAAATATGACTGTCTGAAAAAAAAAAACTAGTTATATTTACTTACTTAGGCAATTTTTATTAATCTCTAGCAGAGCAATTAGATTGTCACAGCAGCAGGAATAAAAAGACATGGAAAACAACACAGTGTAAAACAAAGTACAAAAACACAGATAATTATTAAAATAGATTATAAATCTGCTCAACAGTAATGACTTCAGGAGGCAGATAAATTGAATAACTTCAATTGGTAGGAACAATTTCCTGTACTGCTCTTTTGAACAGCGGCACTAGAGTAGTCTGTTGCTGAAGCTGCTCTTCAGATTGTCTACTGTATTGTGGATGGGGTTGGAGTCTGTATCCATTCTTCCTTTTTGGGTTGCAGGGTCACTGGTGCCCATATCTAGCCATCACTGTGCAAAAGGCAGGGTATACCCTGGCCAGGTCATCGCAAGTCCATCACAGGGCCACGTAGAGACAAACAGCCACTCACTCACACTCGGGACAATTTAGAGTCACCAGCTACATGCATGCTTTTTGGTCTGTGGGAGGAGACCAGAGTACCCGAAAAAACCCACAGAGCCACAGAATCAGCCATCCACAACAATAAAATGTCAACATTTAATGCAGAGCAACTAGGGAACAAAGTTTCAGCCGGCCTCAACAATGCCAAACCACCACCTTCCAACATCAGCAGAGAGGAGAGGGACGCAATCACCACAATCAGCAAGGGCAAGAACATCATCATCCTCCCAGCAGATAAAGGATGGCACAGTGATTGTGAACCAGGAAGACTATCATGAGAAAGTTATGACACTCCTAAGTGACTTAACCACTTATGCACCACTGAACAGAGATCTAGGAAGTAGTTACAAGAAGTTGATAAGAGTGCCTGAAAAACTTGAAGCAGGACAAGTTTATTGACCATATTCTGTTCCACAGACTCTACCCAAGGGAGGCCACGCCTAGTCTGTATGGTTAATCCAAAATGAACAAACATGGTGTACCGTTGACGGATCATTACCATGATTAACTCTGTCACAATGTTTCCAAATATCTAGCATCTCTCTCTCTACTCGTCCCTTTAGTTGGCAGCTCAGAACATCACATACAGAACACCATGGACTTTGTGGATAAGGTAAGGGATGTCATTATGGAGGCTGATGAAACAATGGTCTCTTTTGAGGTCATATCACTTTATGTGCATTCCTGTTGATGAGGCAGTGAACGTGGTCCATTTAAGGTTAAAATCGGACACCACTCTGGGTGGTGTCTCCATCTCCACTTATGGGTGGAGTTTGCATGTTCTCTCTGTGCATACATGGGTTTTCTCTGAGTATTCCGGTTTCCTCCCACAGATCAAAAACATGCATGTTAGGCTGATTGGTAACTCTAAATTGTTCCTAGGTGTGAGTGAGAGAGTGAATGGTTGTTTGTTTCGTTTGTCTCTATGTATTCCTGTGATGGACTGGAGACCTGTCCTGGGTGTACCTACTCTCACACAGTGATAGGTGCACATAAGTACCAGTGACCCCCGTGACCCACAAAGGAAGAAGCGGGTAAAGATATTGGATAGATGGATGGACAAGAAGATGTAAAAGATGGCAGGTTGACTTTCTTGGATTGTGATGTCTCAGTCTCTGGTGATATATCTGATATGTGCAAACTTATGTGTACCGCAAACCCATTCACACAGATGAATACTTGTGGTTTGACTCCCATCACTCGTTGCAGCACAAGTTAGGTGTCATCAGGACTCTGTACCACAGAGTGGACAGCGTCCCCACTAACTCATAAGCCAGGGAGAAGGAGAAATACCACACAAGACAGATCCTGGAGCAATGCAGATATTCTAACTGGGCCTTTCTGAAAGCAGAGAAGAAATTCAAACTCCAGCCATCAAGTGAAAAGGAAAAAAACCCAGACCAGTTGTCATTTCGTTTGTTGCATCTGAGAGAAAACTGAGGTTTATTTTCTAAATATGACATCTCAGTGGCTTTCAAACTCCAAAATACATTATGACAAAGACTGGTTCATCCCAAAATCTAGTCCCCTGGCATAAAAAGAGCAATGTTGTGTATGCTGTTCAATTCCAGGAGAGCTGTGATCAGTCTTACATTGGGGAAACTAAACATCCACTGGCCAAAAGGATGGCCCAGCACAGAAGAGCAACATCATCAGGCTAGGACTCTGTGGTCTACGCTCATCTCCAGGCCAGCGGTCACTCTTTCAGGGATCAAGATGTGCACATCCTTGGTAGAGAGGAATGTTGGTTTGAGAGACGAGTAAAGGAAGCCATCTTTGTGAAGAGAACCTGCCCATCGTTAAACAGGGGCAGAGGCCTCTGTGTTCAACTATCACCCTCTCACAATGCTGTTATTGCTAGTATCACTCAGCCCTCTGTGAATAGCAAGTGACCATCAGGGCACTAGTAATGATCAATTGTTAGGCTGATGGTCCTCGTTTTGCATGCAGCATGTGAACAAATAGTTTTGGATGTCACCAGCAAACTGGTTAATCCACTATGAGAAGGTGCTGCTTATAGAACTGAGTTTGTTGCAGCTCCTTAAGCCCCCAGTATACTGCCGCATATGTCCGTCCACGCGTACGTACGCGTGTACTGTACGCAGAGGGTTCAGACTTCATACTCCAGAGTACATCCCGAGCAGCTGCAGAGCAGCTTCACAGACAAGGGGCGTTTACCTTCGGGACAAATTGAGGTCGCCGATTGGTCATTTGCTGACACGCCTACTGGATTGTTGACAGGTCGGAAAAAAAGCGAGCGCTGGCAGCCTCCGCAGCGGTGTTCTGTGTTTATTTGTTGTTAATAAAAAGATCTAAAAAATAAAATAAAAAAACAGAGAGCGCTGGCTCTACAACCCACACATCAGACCAGCCCACCAGGAAATCTCCAGACCCTCCCGCAGCCATGCTAGACCTGAGTTTAATTCGCTCGTGACAAATTCCTTCATTTCTCACCATTTCAGTCATGGCATCAACGGAAGAGATCACTGCCTCTTGGCAAAAAAAACAAAAGAAAAGGCCAGATCAGGGATGAAGAAGGGGAATTTAATACATTGGTGTCTCATACAAAACAGTCTGTCGCTGGGCAGTTTATTGTGCGACACCGCGTACACGTATGCAGTCGTAAAAATTTGAGCTTTGCACGGACATGCCCTGGGGGGGTACGCTCGTACCTCTGCATACGTACGTGCGTACCTCTGTGTATGGACGTACGCAGCAGTATACTGGGGGCTTTAGACTGAAGAATCTTTTAGATAAAAGATGAAACGTTTCAACAAAGAAGAATCAATACAGAGGACTTGACTCAACCGTGTCAGATTAATGACCAAATGTTAAACAAACTGCATTGTGTTAGCGCTTCGATACGTGTCTTATCAGTCTCAGTTACTATCACAACAAATTTTAAGTCAATATTGGTGAAATTGGAGTTAGACTTTTATTTTACGTTAGTTAGCTGTGTCAGCCATCTTGAATTGGAGTGACTGCTAAAGTTAATCAGTTTATAAATGTACATCAAGACGTTTCCCCAAAACGCAGTGCCAGGTGCAAACCAGAACTGATGCCAGTGTGACACTATGCACGGATGTTGTGGTGGTCTGGTCATGTTTCATTAAAAATTTGACCAGTGTTTCTTGAGATATTTTACTAACAGACAGACACTCAAACACAGACATGGGCGAAAACATCATCTGCCTTCGCTGTTTACAATGTGAGATAATTATGGTGTGAGGTTTGCTTCTAGACTATTTGTCCATTAATCTAAAGCAGGGTTCACTTGCATGATTAACAGTTGTAAAGATATTCTCTAAATCAATATTTGTATATTTTTCTCAAAAAAAGTTTGCTTTTTGTCTTTTTGTGGATCAAATACTCAGTTTTCATTTGATCACTTTATAGAACAGCTTAAATGTTTTTCTGTGTATCTTATGTACAGTGTACCATCTTTCCTAAAATTGACAAACCCTGTGAAAGTTGTCGTTTGTTTTAAATCAATTCCACTTGTAATTGTTGGTCATCTGAAATTATTTTCCCCCAGTCCCTGTTGTCCCAAATCTGGTGGGGTGACATGGAGAGGAACACAGAGGTGTGGAAACTTCTGCTCACTTTCTTCTGCCCTTTCATTTGCTACACCAACCTCATCTCCTTCAGGTAAAACTTACAGGACAATGTACAACATTGACTTTTCAAATGTGTTAGAACATTTTCCTTAAATTCTGTTGAACGTTTTGTGACAAAGGGAGCAATACAAACAGCAACAAGAGGAGGAGAATCATAACGAAGACAGACCATCTAACATTCATTATGGGACAACCGTCTTCTCTTTCGCTGACATCAAGCACGTCATTTGTAGTCTGCGGTTTGGTTTCTCTGTATTTTTAGCTTGGAGGATGTGATTTAAGTAACGAGATACATTGATTAAAATATTTGCATCTTTAAATGTGCTAATTCACTAAAAATCTCTTGTTGCACCAGTGATGTTGATTCACCAGAAGTTACCACTACTCTGACTGCTACCATCAAAGGTGAGTAATGTTTCAGAGGTCGGCACTGAAAAACATAAATGCTGACATCAATATTGTGTTTCAGCATCTGGTCTCCTTTTTAACGCAGGCATACCTGAACCCTACAGACCACCACAACGTCCGTTCATAGTGTCACGCTGGCGTCAGTTCTGGTTTGCACCTGTCACTGCTTTTTTGGGAAACGTCCTGATGTACTTTCTGTTCCTCGGATTTTTTGCGTACGTGCTGTTGCTGGACTTCAAGCCACCACCGCCCTCTGGTCCAGCCATCACAGAGTGCATGCTGTACTTCTGGGTGTTCACCATTGTGTGTGAGGAAATGAGACAGGCACGTCTAACATCTTAATTCGTGGATTTATCGCTTACTTTTTTGTGTCTAAAAAAGGTACATTAATAAACAAAAGTTATATACAGTTATCAAACAAACATGCCCAGCCCAGATAACAGTTTAATTACATTTATATATTTATCTCCTGCACATGCTGAAGGGGCTTTCAGACCAAAAGCAATAAAATTTGTGTTGCACTTTAAAGCCTTCTCAGGTATTATGGCATATGCAAAAAACGGTTTTGCATTACTCTAAGCAAAGCTCAGAGTTGCTATAAGCTTGGAGCAGAGCTGTGCTGTAGTCAAAGTTGAAGATGGTGGTATACTGTGATGTATACTTGCACAGCCAATAGTCACATTACTCTGGTCCCTGCTAAGCTGACAAAACTAATAGCTGAAAGCAGCGGGTATATCATATACATTACAGTGGAGCAGATGGAGAATCGTTTATACGTGTTGAGTGGGTCATTGAGAAACAGGGCTCTTCCACCAGCCTCAATTATTTTCACTGTTTTCTGGATCATTTTATCTCAAGAGTACATTTTCATACATCACTTTTGACTATCTTTTGGTTATGTTATGACATATTTATTTTTCTGTTCAAGAGTTTGACTATACATTTTCTTTTCAAAGACTTTTTTCTTCGGTTTATTACCTTGGCATCAAAGGCTCAGAGTCTACATTCAGGATATGTGGAATAAATGGTACCTCACTGCCATAATGCTGTTCATTATTGGATCAGTCTGCAGGTACGGGCATTAAATACAATCAAGGGTTTTCAGCAGTGATGTAAACAGTTTCCTTTTTATCCTATCAGATCACTTCATCCTCTTTAAAACAGTGCATTTCAAAATACAAAATAAATAAATAAACAATTAAAGCCAAAAAATGACTATAAGAATAAATGTAGATCTGTGCTTGTGTATTAAGTGCTAATGATTAGAAATTCTGTATTAAGTAACAAGTGAAATTACTATTTTATATAAAACAATTGTTTCAAAATTTGATTTGTGATTGAACAACCAAATGCACGTTTGCAGAAATTTTGCTTGTATTTTAGGATGTTTAAGAGTTCACATGAGATTGGACGGGATGTCCTGTGTGTGGACTACATGATCTTCACTCTTCGCCTGATTCACATTTTTATCATTCACAAACGGCTGGGTCCAAAAATTATCATTATTGGCAAAATGGTGAGTAATGTTGTCAAAAAACTAACTTATTGCTAACTATACTTGATGTTTACACTGTAATAACAACTTGACTAATTCTGCTGTCCAGATGAAGGATGTCTTCTTCTTCCTCTTCTTCCTGGGAGTATGGATTGTGGCATATGGAGTAGCCAACCAGGGTTTGCTTTACTCCTATGACTCAAACTTCAGTCGCATCCTGCGCAGAGTTCTCTACAGACCTTACTTACACATCTTTGGAGAGAATTTTGTGGATGAGGTAGATGGTAAGAGGGTTATTTTGCAGCCTGTATTTTCATTTTTTTTTAAACATTCAATACTGCAAATTAAAGGTTAACATATTAATGTTTATATAAATACTGTAGGCGTAAAAGCAAGTTACGGGTACTTGTATTTAGGGTTGCAAACTCCCAAGAATTCTCATGAACAGAAATTTCCCATGGTGAATTAATGGGATTTATAACAATAAACCTGGAATTTAAATTACTGAAGGTTGGCTCTTAAGGATTTTACATTAAATGGAAAATATACTTTAACATAAATTGGATTAAAATGATGAATGATAAAGGGGAAGATATAAATGATAACATGTAAAACGTTTAGTTCTAAATTTTAGTTCTCTTATGAAATACAACTTAATGATATATGCCAAACAAACACCAAATGGTACGCTAAAAGATCTAAGATATATGCCAGTCACTAATGGTGCAAAACAATACACCGAACAACTGCAGCACGATTCTCATAGGTTCTGCTCAGCTATAATTTACACGCTTAATGCGAGCACTAACATAAACCAAACTAACATAAACTGGGATTTATTCAAAGCATGCAACAAAAATATAGAAACAAGGCGCCAAAAGTGAAAAAGAAATAAATCTACAGCAGCATGGTCCTATTGGCAGAGTGGTTCTGATGACAGTGAGGTTATCTTATGCAGTGAAAATGAACAAGAAACCACGAAAATGATCAAATAACATGCAAATAGTTTTGTACAGAGTTGTGGGAATTGAATTTTATCTTTTCTGTGCATAAAATTTGACGTTTTAATGGTTTTTGTTTTATTTGCAATTTTTTTATATTTTGTTTTTATGTGAATATAAGAAAAAAAAACATACATTGTCAATATTTTTGTTCAAAATTCTCATCACAATGTTATTTGCAAACATCATAGTCAATAGGGATTCCTGCCTGACCTCATCTGTTAGTCGGTCCATCACCAGAGCAAACAAGAAGGGGCTCAGAGCTGATCCTTGATGCACTCCCACCTCCACCTTGAAGCTATCCGTCACTCCTACAGCACATTTCACCACTGTCCTGCTGTCCTCATACATGTCTTGTACCAGTCTAACATACTTCTGTTCAGAGTTGTGTACATAAATTTAAAAAAAAAAAAGGTTTACAACAAGGAGAGCTCTAAAAATGCTCAAAATCCATTGTGCTCTAAAAGTTGTTTGATCCAAAATGGTTGTGACATATGCATATCAATTTAAAAATTAGGTAATTAATTTTTATAAAACTTTGGTTGGATATTTTCTTAAATTTTCCAGTTCACAAGGAATTCTGGGAGGTTTTTTGGAAATTTACTGAAACTCCTCCATCCTTTTTGTATTTAATGTCCTGTCTTTTTTTAATGTAGTTGGAAAGGAGTGGGCTGTAACCTGCACAGACAATATAACGTTGATTGAGGAGGGTGCAGAGCCATGCAGGTCTCTGAACAACAACTGGCTTGTGATCATTCTGTTGGTTATTTATCTTCTGGTTACGAACATCCTACTCATCAACCTGCTCATTGCCATGTTTAGGTAGGTGGGTCAGCTGAGCAGTGTTCTTATATTTAATGACTCAGTTCTTTAGATGTAATGATCTTTGTGTCCACTAGCTACACCTTCACTGAAGTGCAGGCTAACAGTGACATCTACTGGAAGTTCCAGCGCTACAACCTCATTGTCCAGTATCACTCCAGGCCCTCACTGGCTCCTCCCTTCATCATCCTCTCTCACATCAACTTATTTATCAAGAGGATCATCCGCAAGGTTCCCTCTGTCAAGGTCCACCACTTTGGTTAGTATTTGGACTAGAGGTTTATTTCAAATGTAATTGTAAAGTTATACTGTATATAATGATCAAGTCTTCTTGTTGGCTGCTTACTGGCTCCCCCCAAGTACTACAAGTAACTAACAGAATAGACTTGATGCTCACCATCTCCCTGTCCTTTTTGTTCCCAGTTCTAGTGTTATGTTTTGTGTTGTTCAACGAACACCAAAGAACTGCACATCAATACTGACAAGTCTTTTTAATTAGTCTTGCAGTTGAGCGGGAAAGAAGCGAACACATTAATGACGTGGGAAACCATCCAGAAAGAGGACTTCCTGACTGCTCAAAACAAAATCCAGAAAAGCAGTGACACTGAGAAACTCAAACAGATGTCTGACAAGTGAGCTCTCAATGTTGTACCACAGTACCAGGAATAATATATTGCTTTTGTCTTGTGATAATGATAATCATAAAATCTTAATGAGGTGATGAAGACAAAAGGTCTCTTACTTTTTTCAGATTGGATAGCGTTCTTAAACACTTGGCTAAAATCAGAGATTTTGACCACAGGCTTAAAGCTCTGGAGAATCAGGTAAACATTAAGTATGCTCTGATGATGACCAGTAATCTGAAATGTTAACGTACCGTGTTATGACCAGGAGCAAACTGGTTAAAAAATAATTCATTCTTGTCCTGAAGTTCTTTGTGTATGTGTTGCCAGTCTAGTCTTGAATATTTTGTGGGGCTTTTCACGTTTCGATTTGACACTATAACTAACATTTCAAACTTTGTTCATTCAGAATTTTTTTGAGGGAAGTGTAAAGATTGTGAAAAAGAACATAATGTATGCATAGTCAAAAAAACTGGAAAAATTAGAGCAGTGTTGGGTAAGATTAGTTTAGCAGCATGAGATGGCATTGGGGGAAAGTCTCACAGGTAAGTCAAGGTTCCTGCCTCTTCTACACTGGTTTCTCTAAAGTTAGTTTGTCATGGGGTTTGTCTAGTTGGTGTATGGCATTCATGAAGGAGTCTTCAGATCTCTCCATCTTAAGAGAGCTAGAGCTATATTTTGACACCTGTATGGTAGCTCTTTTCTGACCAAAAACATCAGAGGTGAATGTCTAGGTCTAAAACGATTAAAGAATTTTTTTAATAAAAACTAGTCCAGATCTACCGATCTTCATTTCTAAAGTGTACTCCAGTAAATGAAATTAAAAACATGTGGGCAGCTGCCAAGGTTAGAACAAAGCAATCCTAGGTAGGTGGAATGTGGGTAGACGTGAACAAAAACAAATGACTGTGATTAAAAAAAAAATGCGTATCATGCGGCTCTCTGGTCACTTGGTTGCAAACCTCAGAATTTAGTGAGACTGCAACAAAAAAAAAAATTCCTGCAATTTCAGAGTCGCCAACTAATTTCCAACAGTCTCAGCCAATTAAAATACTAAGACAGACCAAATTCACCTGAAAAAGCACAAAACAAAACGAAACAGTTGTCAGCAGAGGGGTAGCATGCTACAGTATACAAGCATGGAGTAAAAGTTTTTTTGTTGTTGTTGTTTTTACAAGGAAGGTCATTTTCAGCTAAAGCCACTAACATCCTGGAGCCTATTATATTTTTATATGCCTGTCAAAGGCAGCTGTATTATGGTATAGTCTCCATCCATCTGTAAACTCAACATAACTTAAAGATTGCACATACATGTCATCACTAGACGGAGTGTTGCATCCCCCCCCCCTCCCCCCCAACTTCAATGTCATGGTCACAAATCAAAGTCACAGGTTACACAAGGTCTTTGCTTGTCCGGGTCATTGATATAGATTGATGTACTTCTTTATAATACTGGTAGTTTGCTGATGGACATATAATGTGCCATATGTGGGACTCTTGTTAATAACACTGACAGGAAGATTCTAGCTGCTTTTCTTGATTACATTTTTTATACAGCAAAAAGCGTAATTGAATTGAATTGAAGCTAAGCTGTATGTGAAGGCCTTTTTTGTTCCCAGTCACAGAGCAAATAGGGGAAATTGGAAACCCTCCTCATCCGTCCATCTGTCTATGCATCTTGTGAGCATGATAACTTGAAAAATAAATGTGGTGCAGACGGTGTTTGGCTACATCTTGTCGTAAGAAAGGTGCCTTTTAAAAATTGGGATGCCAGTCCAAATTCAAGATGGTTGCTGCCTTAAATGTCTGTCCATGTTGTCATCATTTTAACATGTAAGCATCTTCTCCACTTGCTCTTGCCAAGGGCGGACACTTTTCCCCTCCTCTCCTTCCTTCGCTTCGCTTTGCTGCTCTGTCCTGTCTGTGAAACTGCTTCTGAGCCTCTCTTTACATATCCTCCGAATGGTAATTTTGTGGATCTGGTCAGTTGATCTCTCAACGCAATGGACTAAATTTTTGAGACAAGCTTCAGGTGAGCTGAACTGCCCAGACAACACGCATGCAGATGGATATGTCTCTGGAGGTGGAATGTGATATGTTTATCTCTGCTGTCGACCGAGGACGCCAAAGTTGCATATAGTTGGATTTATGATCACAGGTTTCTCTCTTTTTGGAATTGTCTGGTTCCTGGTTTATCAACATATAAAGAAGATGGCCACAGCTAATCTGGCCTGGTCAGGCTGCCGCCTATATTAAGGGTTGCTCCGTGTCTCATGCACCCAGACTCTATTACTTAGAGAACTGGATCGCAAATTGAATCGATATGTGAGAATTGCAGGCCATATGCGGCTCCTAGGACTTGGAAGTATGGATCAAATCTCGGGGAATATTCTCAGGCACAGATCAGTGGTGTGTCCACTTAATTTTGGAAACTTTTGGAATCTATGTGAGACCACCAAAGATTCAAGGCAGATAAAAATTCAGTAAAGTTCTGCCTGACTTCAAAACATACTTTTTTTAAAATCTGAATTTGTCTCTCTCGGCTGGCCTTGCAGGCCACCTTATCTCAATTCGCCTGGAGGCTCTGTAATCTGATGCTCTGCCCCCCTCCCTCCCATCGAGGAAGTCCACTGATCAACCTGAGGGAAGCAGCTGAATAAACATTCTGTCATTTCAGGACTCTTGGTTTTTATTGACGTTGTCCTTAGCCATTCCCAAACATCCCTCGAGAATGTTTACAGATCTCACCGGAGGGAACTGGCTGATTATTCCATCCTTATCCGAACTCCTAAAGTGCCTCCGGGAGCGTCCTTGGACACTCTCACCGTCCTTGGTGTCTTCCCTCCACGGAATGTCTACGTCACCATGTGCTTGCATGTGTGGGGTGTTTTTTTCATTATCAGGGTCTTTCTTCTCAGCCAAGAAGAACGAGTTTGATAAGAATTTTTTTTGCTTCCAATTCCTACATGTGTTCAGTTTCACTACTTTTTTGTCTGTCTAAACAGATCTCACTTGTAAATGAGTCTTCGAGGCTCAGTGTGATTTATCTGTCTAAATAAAGGTTGAATGGAAGAAAAAAAAAGAAAAAATAACAAAAATATTAGTGATCAACCTATCAGATATATGAATGCAGTATACAGCTGAGTTTCATAGTGATTATGTTATTTGTATGAATAAAATAAAACTGAAATAGGAACAAAATGTCTCAGGTTGTTTAGGAACAACGTCTTCTGTGCGGTGAAAATAACATAAGTAGCACCAGTTTTTTTGCTGTTCTTCTCAGATGGAGCACACCAGCATGCAGAGGCGAACATCTAAACCTCCTGGACCACCACCTACATCAAGAGGTAGTTTCCATCATTTGGAAAATCAGAACAAACCACTTTTAAGTTAAAGCGCAAGTCAATAACTAAGCTTGTTTGGATGTGTTGGGTTTACTGCAAGACTTTGCACTGAGGGATGTGTACTTTCATACACAGTACATCTACAGTCATTCTTTGTTTCAATATTTTTATACAGATATTGCCACTTTTTGATGTTGCCTTCAGGATATGTTTGAGTTAATTCAAGTTTAGATAACACAAATAAAAAAATCAGTTTCTGTTTTTTATATGATTTGAGAAGGCTGCAGTATGTTGGTGGTCTGTGTTGTGGTCTTGTAATCTTAAACCTGCAGCAGGTTTGAGTGAGCCCAGGTTGTCTCAGAAAAGGCATTCGTTGTAAAACAATTGTCAGGGTTTTGTTGTGCGAGTTTGCTTGCTTAACTCCGGCAAAAGGAAGCAGCAGTTTTAAAATGTGCATTGACTTTTTTGTGATGAATTTATGAAGTTTTGTTTTTATGTGGTCCGTGAAGGTGACGAAAATAAATTTGATGAAATGCAAAATGGAAGTGATACAAAGGTTGAAATGTTCAAACACACATCAATGCAAAAGATAATGAACTGTATACCAACCAGTTGTTAAATCAAAATGTGAAATAAAATTCAATAAATGTGTTTTTTAAATGAAGCACTTCAGTTTATTCTTTACGCCAGCAACTTGAAACCTTTTCTCATACGTGAACAGTTTGATGTGATTTTTTTTCAGGAATTTTGATGGACTTTTCTCTTTTACTTTTTGTTATACACAGATGAAAGATATGCAAAATTCCAAAGTATCCAGACAAGCTTTACATTATGGTTGATCAAACTTGAGTAGGTTGTGTTGTCACACAGGTCTTTCAGCTTTCCCTTTTGCTCAGTGTTGGGAATGTGTTTGCATGAAACTATGTGATATTTTTGAGAATATTTTAAATGGCAGAAATCTGCTTTGGAAATGGACCTAATCAGGTTATTCATAAAAACTCTACTAATCCAAGATAACTTCTGCCAATTGTTCCAAACTGATAATATACAAGTGAATTCTGCTACAGGTAAGATACTGATTAATAATGCCAACTCATTGAACGCTCAATAAATAAATAAAATTATGTCTCAGTGCATATATGTCAGGCGGCTCAGTTGGTAACGTTGTTGCCTCAGCAAGAAGGTCAGCGGATCGAATCCCGGCAGGAAACTTTCTGGATGGAGTTTGCATGTTCTCTCCGTGCATGCCTGGGTTTTTCCAGGTACTCCGGTTTCCTCCCACTGACCAAAAACAGGCTGATTGGTAACTCTAAATTGTCTCTAGGTGTGAGTGAGAGAGTGAATGGTTGTTGGTTTCATTTGTCTCTGTGATGGACTTGCCACCTGTCCAGGGTGTCCCCTGCCTCTCGCACCATGACTGCTGGATATGGGTACCAGTGGCCATCTCGATCCAAAAAGATAAGAAGCAGGTAAACCTTGGATTCTGTGGTGTGAAGGAAGCTAGGGTTTGCTGCTTTATTTATTTATTTATTTGTTTGACGGATACATTTAATCCTATAATGTAAATTTACTGGAGTGGGTATTAGTTATAGTGTCCTGCAAAAAGTGTCCTGTTTAATTTTAAATCAGGACTATGGCTGCGCAGTTGTTTATGCACCTGCATATGTCTGTCTGCTACATTATTAATACAATATTGTCATCTGTGGCAAAGAGCATTTTGATTCTCTGCCATATGGAGATATATTTAAATATGGTTATAAATGTTAAATTCATTGTGATATCCCAGCAGGCGTGCTGGCTGTTTCTACTGGTCACACCTGTTTCCAGTCTGTCTGCCTTTGTAACCACCACACCCGCACCTGTTTACTCTGCACTGCGACCAGGAACTCCGTTTCTTTTCTTTACTGCGCGTGCTCTGTTAAAAATCTCTCAAGAAGGCGGAAAATGGGACCAGAGAGAGGGGCTGACGGAACAAACACAAAATCTAAAACTGAAAAGGACCAGGTAAGCGAGGCAACTGTGACAACACTGTAGTAAAGTTTAAAAGAAGATGAACGTACCATGTGAAGATGTTTGGAAAGTAGTTTGCAGCACTGGTTTGTTTGGGTAACACGCATCGTCCAGTAAGATCAGTGTCATGGCTGTCAATAAACAGAAAACCTAGTGCCTATTTATGGAAATAAACATTCTGTAGTTACAACATTTAAGGCTAGTTAGCTTCTCAGCAAAGAGCGGAAGTTAGCTAAGTTGAGGAGAAACAAAGCTCAGGCCAAGTAATAACAAGTAATAGTAACTGCTGCGTTCCAATCCTTGATCTGCTTGATTCCACGGGGTTGTTTTCCTGTTTCTGTGTGGGCCTCAGTGCTGGTTCAACTAAACGGAACGGAGCCATCCTGATAACACGTGTCCAGTCAGAAATATGTGCTTCTGTTGTCGCTCAGATGGTATATATCAGCCAAATATGGACACACCGAGTTTAAATCTAAGTAAAATGCAGAGGCCATTTACTTATAAAGTACAGTTACAAACTGAGCTAATTTAAAAGTAAAAAAATCTGCATGAATAGAACTATTTCAAGAAAAGTCTAGTGGTTTCCAAACTTGGGGTTGGGACCCCACTCTGGGTCATGAAACACCAGTTGAGGGTTTTCAGATAATTCTCTAGGTATCAGTTTATATTTGATCTATACAGTAAACGATTGTTTTTGTCACATTTTTAGTGTAATTAATACAAAAACTGTCCAATTAATCATTTAAATTTCAAGACCGTTTGTTGTTTTGTTGTATTTAAAAGTTTGTATTTTTAAATTGGCAACAGATGGGCTCAAGCATTTCTCAGTGTCATTTGGTAGGTTAAAAACTAAAGTTTGAGGGCCATTTTTCAAACTTGTATGATATCAAAATACTGAAAGGTGCCATGTTACTGTTTATCAGAACTTCTGTGTACAATTGTATATAGAGAGACATTAACAAATCCAAGCATTGATAAAAAATAAACAAATGAATTAGTTTTATTGTTTACATTGTCTAAAACGGTCATAAAGTAAGCACTATTTAAAAATTCTGTGCCTGATGAGGAAAATCCTTCCTTCCTTCCTTCCTTCCTTCCTTCCTTCCTTCCTTCCTTCCTTCTTTCCATCCATCCATCCATCCATCCATCATCTTACCCGCTTCTTCCTCCATTTTCTCTTAAATATTAAAAGTATGGAAAATGAGATTGAGATAAACAAAAAATAAAACCTTGAATAATGAACTCAACTCGAGGACACAGGTTTAGCTGCTAAAGAACTTGACTTTCTAAAATACAATAATGTATATTCTTGAGTACTTAAATCCAATAATAAACACTAAAAGCACTGCCAAAATAGGCACA